CCCAAGCTCAGCGCCGAGTCGACAGGACGCCGCCCACGAGAGCGGCGAGAGCCGAGCCCGACGGACGCTACGCGCGATACTCGGTTTGCTCGCTGGCTCAGAGCTGGTCCCGAGCGACGAGCCCACCCCCGAGCCGCGAAGGGCCGCGCGTCGGGGTTTGCCCGCCACGGTGGCTGCGCCACGCGCCGTTGCTGCGCCACGCAGGTGTCCGGGAGCGCGGAAAGCGGAAGGGCGATCGACACGCCGCGCACTACCGGTCCATGCCATGGGCCGCTGGCTGGAAGCGGCGGCTGGGCCCTGACGCTCGGGCGTCGCTGCGCGAAGGCGTGGCGAAGGCGCCATCCCACGGACGAACCCCCCTCCGATGGTATGGCGTCCGCCGCCACACTGTTCCCCGGCTGGGATCGTCGTCGTCGTCGCCGTCGTCGTCGTCGCCGCCGTCGCCGCCGTCGCCGCCGCCGAGCGCTCCCGCGAGGAACGCCGAGGGAGGTAGGCACCGTCGCGGTCATGGGTCAGCAAGGAAGGCGTGGAGACTCCGCTTCGACGGTCCGCCACCGAACAGCCGCACAGTGATCCCATCGGCTCACCCCGGTGCGCGCACGTGCGTTTCGCTGAGTCGACGCGAGCCGCATGATGGCCTGAAGCCGACACGTGTGGACGGCCCTCTGCTCAGGGGGAGCCCGACTGTCACTTCCGTGACCACGCCGCCGTGCTCCCTGCTGCCACGCTGCTGCCGACGACCGTGGCCGCTGCCGCGATGGCGCCTGCGCCGACCCCCCGCGCGGCGCGACAGGCCACCGCCTCGCCGTCGGCGTCGCCGTCCGTGCTGTCGCCGTCGTCCGTGCCGCCGCTGCCGTCCACAAGACCATCCGCCACGTCGTCCACGAGACTTTGGTCCGGTCCGCCGCCCGAGAGCGCGTTCCGCATCCTGATCGCCACCGACAACCACCTCGGCTATCTCGAGAAGGATCCGATCCGTGGCGAAGACTCGTTTCGAGCGTTTGAGGAGGTGCTGCAGATCGCAGCGGCGCGGGACGTGGATTTCGTCCTGCTGGGAGGCGATCTGTTCCATGAAAACAAGCCGTCGCGACGGTGCCTCGTGACGACGCTGCGGCTGCTGCGCCACTATTGTCTGGGCGACCGGCCGGTGCCGTTTACGATTCTCTCGGACCAGGCCGCCCACTTCGGCCCCGCGACCCCGCGCGCCAACTACCAGGATCCGCATCTGAATGTGGGACTGCCGGTCTTCTCGATCCACGGCAACCACGACGACCCCGCTGGCGACGGCAATCTGTGCTCGCTGGACCTGCTCGCCGCCGCGGGCCTCGTCAACTACTTTGGCAAGCAGACCGCCGTCGACCATGTCCGGCTCGACCCGATCCTGCTCCGCAAGGGCGACTGCCGCGTCGCGCTGTACGGTCTCGGCAACATCCGCGACGAGCGGCTCCACAAGACCATGCTGGCCCAGCAGTGCGAGACGGTCGCAGCGGCGGAAGCGGAAGCTCGAGCAAGAGCGAGCACAGGCGCCTCAACGGAAGCGGGGGCGGGTGATGACGACAACGACAACGACAACAACGACGATGCGTACTTCAACCTGATGGTCATCCACCAGAACCGCGTGCCCCACGGCGCGACGAGTTACATTCCCGAGGAGTTCCTGGACGACCGCTTTGATCTGGTGCTGTGGGGTCACGAGCACGAGTGCTGCATCGACCCGGTCCGCAACACCGCCAAGGGCTTCCACATCACCCAGCCTGGGTCGTCGGTGGCCACGAGCCTGAGCCCGGGCGAGGCAGTTCCCAAGCACGTGGGCATCCTCACCATCCGCCCGGGCCACCAGTTCCACATCGAGCCGGTCCCGCTCACGACGACGCGGCCATTTGTCATCGACGACATCGCGCTGGCCCAACTCGGGCTGCAGCCGCATGACCACGAGGCCATCCAGCTCGCGCTCTCCGACAAGGTCGAGCAAATGATCGCCACCGCCCACGCCGAGTGGCGCGACGCGCATCCTGACCGCCGTGGCCAGCCGCCGCCCAAGCCCCTCATCCGCCTGCGCGTCGAGTACAGTGGCGGCTACACGACCCTCCATCCGCAGCGCTTTGGCCAAGCATTTGCCGAAACCACCGCCAACCCCAAGGACGTCCTCCACTTCTACCGCCGCCGCGTCTACGCCAACCCCTATGCGCCGCATCCCACGGCCGGCGGTGGCCGCAGCGGGACGACGGCGCCGCGCGCGCCGCTCGCCGTGCCCGACCCGTTCCTACCGGACCGGCCCGAGGATGTCGACGTGCAGGAGATCGTCGCCACCTTCCTCGCGGCGCAGTCGCTCCAATTCTTTGCCGAGGCCGAGCTCAGCGAGGCCGTGCGTCTCTTTGTCGACAAGGATGACCGCAGCGCCATCGCCGATTTCGTCGGCAGCACGCTCGAGACCGCGCAGACCGCGCTGCAGCAGCGCGTCCGCGACGAGACGGACCGCGCCGTCATCGAGGCCCAGATCGCCGCTCACACCAAGCAGCGGCCCGCGCCGCGGCTCGCCTCCGACGGCGTCACCGCGGTCCCCTGGCTGCAGGAGCGCGCCCAGCGTCCAGGCGGCGGCGATGGCGGCGACGATGACGACGACGACGACGACGACGCCAACGATGATGATGACGCCAACGGCGAGGCGGCGCCGTCGGGGGGGCGCCGCCCATCAAGGCGCGCCACGGCGGCCGCGTCACGGGGCCGCGGTCGCGGTCGGGGCCTCGGACGCGGCGCCCTGCGTGGCCGCGGCCGCGGGTCGGACCTGGCCGCCGGCACCGCCGCCGGCACCACGGCCTCGCGCCGCTCCGTTCGGGCGTCGCCCACGCCGGTCGCCGACGTGTCGGACGACGCGGAGGAGGCTGCCGCCCTCGAGGTCGCCGCCGTGAAGCGCCGCCGGGCTGGCTCGCCTGCTGGCGCACACCACGCGACGCCGATGCCGACGCAGACGCAGACGCAGACGCAGACGCAGACGCAGACGCAGACGACGCTGGCGCTCAGGGACCAGCGGCAGGCGCTCAGCGCGCTGCGGACGGCCGCGACCCGGCGCCCCATGACGCGGCAGCTGCCGTTCGCCCAGGGTCGGCGTGGCGCCGGCAGCGACGGCGTCCGCCCGGACCGCGATGATGGCGACGACGACAATGATGCGGATGACGACGATCTGTTTACCAATTTTAAGACCTAAGACTTCACGCGCCGCGTTGACAGGATTCATCAGCGTGCCTGCCAGCCCGGTGGGCGTGCCCGGGGCCGCACCGGCCGATCAGCGATCACGAATGACATCGCACTCTGCGCTATGAGGTTCACTATCGAGATCTACAAGGATGAGGTGCGCAACACGCCGATACACGTGGTGGAGACGTTGGCACCGCGATGGCGGAGTGGCGCAGATCGGTGCATGAGCGGCGGCGGCGGCACGGCGAGGCGATGCACTAGGCAGGCACGCGGTTCTGCGCGTCGGAAGCCGGGTCGGGAACGAGGCCGTGGACGGGACCGGCCGCGACCGCCGCGAGCAACCGATGCAGCCGGTGGATCGTCGACTGCGCGTCGTCCAACGCGCCGCGATGGGCCCCGACGGCCTGCTGCAGCGTCTTCTGCGCTGCCACCGCGTCGCGCAGCAATCGGCGGTAGACGCGGTGCTGCGCGACTTTCAAGTCGCGCGTGACCTTCGATAGCGTGCGGCGCGGGTCGTTGCGCACCGGCACGCCGCCAGGCCGGGCCGCCCGGCCGACGCGTGGCTCAGCCGCAGACGCTGCGAGCGCCTCACGCGGATACCCAGGCGGCGCCGCCGTTTCCCAGCCGCCCGCGACATGAGGAAGGTGGTCGGCCTCATCACGGATGGACGTGGCAGAGACCGCCTGCGACGCTTGCACCCGCTCGGGAGCGGCACCGGCCGCGTCACCGGCCGCGGCATCGGCTGCGACATCGGGCTCATCCTCACGACCAAGAGCAGCGCCGCGCGCAGCCATCCGCGAGCGCGACTCGGTGCGGAGATGCTGGTCCAGCATCGCAAGCCGCGCCGGCAAGTCCTGCCGCGTGACCAGCCCGCGAAACGCGGCGTCAAAGGCGGTCGTGAAGTGGTCGTGGACGCGTTGACACGTGGCGGCTGCCACGTGGGGCTCCAGCTGGGCGTACGTCGGGAAGAGGGCCGACAGGGAGGCCGGCGTGAGCGCCTTCAGACTGGCCTGGACAGCCAGCTGCGTGGCGAGCTCCAACTTGGCCATGCGTCCATGGAGGCCGCCCACAGCAGGCGCCGGCAGCGGAGTCGCTACCGCCGTCGCTGCCGCCGCGGGTGCCGTCGCCGCAGGCTCGGTGGACGGCAACACCGTCGCTTCAACCATTGCTCGCTCCGACGGGGATCCTAAGAGGCGCCCAACGCAGAGACAAGATCAGGAATGCAATGAGGGCGAAGACTGAAATGGGCTGTTGAGGCGCGCAGCGCGTAGCCGTACCATATGGCACCGCTACTTGAGACCGACGAACGGGGGACGGCAAAGACCCTGCCGGCGGGCCGCGATGAGAGACCGTCAATGACGAAGAGGCGGTAGGATACGGTGAATCGAGAACAGCGAACTGAAGACTGTCGGGATAACCACAACCCGCAGTCGGAATACACCGAACAATCGGGACACTCGGGAGAGGAAGACGCGTCGAGAACACGACCGGCAGCGGCGGCGCTCTCTCGAAGGGAAAACGGTCACGGCGCAAGGAACGAGAGGCTCGCGCCACCGGGAGAACAGCGGCTCACCAACACGACGTCAGCACCCGGGGGAAAAGAACATGTGTGCGTAAGGGCGGAACCAGCAGTAGCATGCGGTAGTGAGACGCATTGTGGCAGGCATCCTCGGCTTCTGGAAGTATACGCTATCCTAACTAGCATCCTCAAATCGCAGCGCAAAAGTGAAAAGGAAAAGATCTCGAAGTGGCAAGCACGCCAGTAGATGGAAAAAAAGAGGGCGCCAAATGATTTGCAGATTGTGTGCATCATCCGGGAATCGAACCCGGCGCACTTGCTTGGAAGGCAAGTATATTAACCACTATACGAATGATGCATCGCATAGCACACTGAGCCACATACTACAATTTTTTTTTGTGTTCTGGTACATAATTCGCTTTATATACCAGCAACATTGATCCTTGGCATCACTTGTGGGCAACCCTCGCCTGGAACGGCTCCTGGTTGTCCAG